ATGGCTTATTATCTGACATTATTCTATAGTACAAGCAGTACTATTCAGCTCTTCCATCTCTTGTACTTCTGCCATTTTTAGTAGGGAGGGGAAAGACATTCGGAAAAGAATTTACTAAGGATTTCAGACTAATAATGAAACACCACCTTTGATACAGCCTGAGCTACTTTAGTACCCAAATGTACAATCATGGCTCCCAGTTCTAAGAAGAAAGCAGAGTTAAAATTTCAAACACTGAAAAGTCTCAAACTTTGAAGTCCAAATATTAAACATCCTATGATATTTTAGAGATAAAGTTATGCCAAGTTTTGGTTTTCTCATGAGAAATTCAAGAAAGTAATTTTAGCCAGGTGTGGTGGCACACTCCTGTAATCCCAGCATGGGAGAGGCTGAGGCAGGAGGATCATTGTAAATTCGAGACCAGCGGGGCTAAAAAGTGAGGTCAAGGCCAGCTTGAACTGCATAGTGAGACCCTGTCTCAGAAAGACAACAAAAGGGTTGCTGAAACAGTCATGTTTTGACCTCTATTGTTATATTGTTATGTCCTGTTTTATCTCAATCTCTCCCTTATTCGTTAAAAAAATTATTTAGTTATTTTTTATGTTTTTTTTAATTAAGGGGAAAAATTAAAAAATTAGCAGGATATATAATAGTAACTTTTTTTGATTTCCTATTAACTTGTTTTGAAGTCCTGTAATACTCCCACGATCTTGTTTTAACTGATTAGACTCTGTTCCATTCTGTATGATAGTATCAAGTTTGAGGGCATAGGCAACTACTTTGAAGGCAATAAGATTCACTAAGATGCCCATTCTGGTTTGACTACTGTCTCCTTTGGAAGTCCTGTAATGTTTACAATGCTTAAGTTTTATTGGTCTTGTTCTCTACTGTTTTGTTCAACTTTATAATATCTAATGAGATAGACAATTCTTTTTAAGGAAACAAGAGACATTGTTGATAACCATTGTTGATAACCTTGTACTCTGTTTTACATCATGTGCTATGTCTATCCTTGGTTTTGACTGACAGCTTTGTTTTGCCATATTTGACTTTATTCTCTCCCCCCCAAAAAAGTAATAAGAACTAAGGAGTAATAAAACCCAAAATGTGTAAATTTTGTTGTAAAAAAGAGAGGGAAAAAAAGAGCTCTAAAGGATACAACAGCAAGTGTGTTTAGAGGTGTTAAATAGCTGACCATATTAATGTTTTTGGTTGGATCACTGAACACAACTGTTTGCAGTCTCACTGTTTGAATGTCCACTTTGTATGCTTTGATACTGTGATTTGAGCAACTATCTCTAAGATGATAATATGTAATCTATTAACTGGTGATTTCTTACTGTTTTTTTTTTTTTTTGTAGTTCTGTATTACTTGTACCCTTACACTGCTTTGTTTTGTTTTTTCTTTTTCCTTTTAAATAAAATTTAAAAAAAAAGACAACAAAAGAAAAAAAAGTAACTTATGCCTCACATTCTTTCTTCAAGAGAAAACTCACTTTCATTGGTTCATATTAGAAAAGTTATAATTAGCATGCCCTAAATAATCACCCATTAAAATAAAATCTCAAAAATCATTGTTTCCCCTAATACAGCAAACACTTTTACAATACAAGATTTGAAAGTAAATATAGAATGGCTTATAGGAGACACTATAAATTAACCAGATACACCAAAATGATATAAAAAAAAAGGCTGGAAATATTAGAATGTACAGCTTAAGAAAGAAGTTTAAGAGAAAAATTAAACCAAAATATGGGGGGAAAGGCAACTTGGACATAGCACAAAGAAGAACTGGTACCACACAAAATATAATAAAAGGTATGGTAAGCAAAGCAAGCAATTAAAAAGTAGAAACTAAGAAAAAGGGACTTCCACTGTAAGTATAAAACAGTGTTTCATAGAAAAAGAAGCCTGGCATGATGGCACACACCTGAAATCCCAACAGTATGGGAGGCTGAGGCAAGACAGGCACGAGTTTGAGCCCAGCCTGAGCAACTCAATGACTTAGTGAGACCCTGAGTCAAAAAAATACACACTGACAAGTACTTCTGCAAGAGACTGCTGTTAATCTCTAGCAAGTTATTCGGAAAGAACCAGGTACTCACTGCATTGACTGCATTGGAGATTTATCTCTCCCATCATTTGAATCCAGAGGACTCTGGTCTACCTGAAATCTCCCTGTCTGGTTACCCTCTTATGCAGCTCCTCAGACAAGTTTTCCTCTGGTAAGTGTGAGAATGGGTAATGAACTCTGTTCATGCTTGTCAAATCAGCCCCAAGCTTCCCTGGCTTCTCAGAAACTGAGTCTAGCCTGAGAAACATTATGAAATTTTGCATTACTGATGGCCTCAATGGCTCATGGTTTTTCTTGTTCTTCAAAACTCTTTGCACCACTGAAACAAGCGTGTGTGTATTAGTTAGATATCTTTATTTCTTTGTTACTCAAAGAAGAAATATTTTTCCCTCCTTTTTGAGTTCAGAACTTCATTTAACACTTTTTTTTCATTGTTTATCTGGTTTCTGGATTATGGTTTGAATATGACTTAACAAAATAATTGAGGGCATACTGACTCTTAACTAAAACGCCTTGCTTTGATTAACACTGCAGTGGTCTCCAAAATGTTTTAAACATAAAACGCTAGTAAACAGTACAAGAGTGAGGCACACCCAACCCACGATATGAATATTGTGTAGTTACAGATTATACATACATGTGCTGCTATACTCATATGTACATTATAAAAATTTACAGATTTCTAAACAATGATATTTATTAATGACAAGTGATTTTTGGCTGTCACCAGAATTCATTGGTAATACTTAACAAGAATAACATACTGTAATATAGCTCTATTTCTCAACATCTTGGCTTGCTCTGTTGTGATTGAGCAATACAAAGTTCAATTTGCTTTGGTTTTAATGGCTCACATAGACACTTCATCAAATTATGTGATCTAAATGAGAAAAGGCAATTATGGCCCTGATAACCTCAATTTTTAATTCCATCTTTTGATAATAAAAAAGGTTAGGGGTTTTGGATTTTAATTTTATTATTTTTCTTATTATTACTATCATATTATTGCTAATTGAAATTCAGTTAATATATGCTCATCTTTCTGATATCAAGTCCTTGTTTTTGGAAACCTACTAAAGCTATTGAATTTTTATACTTTTAAAAACTGTGGTCTAAATCCATGGAAACTTTGTAAGGTACTTCAGCAAGATTAGGACATTCCATTTCCAAATTAATTAACATGAAGATGCTTAGAGTTTCACTAGGCAACACTCACCATTTTTAATATAAAATCACACTTCCAAGCATCTATTTTTAAAAATCCTTTCCTTGAAGCACAGGTTTCTTTTGGAAGCAGTCACTTCCTAGCTCATTTCTTAAAACACTGCTTCTACCTTGAAGGGCTATATTTAAAAGTATATTTTTCAAAAAAATCTCTACAAGGTAGCATCTACAAAAACGATTTATTACATGAAGGCCAGCAAATCTGGGCAACTTGTGTTTCCGCAAAAGAAAACGGAGTAACAATTTTTAGTTCCTCGTGGGAAAAACAACTTCTGTGTGGCAGAAATATATTGATATTCATTACCAATCTCATCACAAAGTATATAAAAAGATGTCTACTTTAAAAAAAAAAACTTGCTTTTACAAAATCAACTAGGTAATCTTTTCTTGTATGGTAGCACACTGTATGCCTCTGGCATTAATTTCTTTGCTCTTCTTCAAGCTCAGTAGCTTGCTTGTGAGTGATGCAGCAAACGCATTCCATATATTCACTGTTGGTGATAACACATGCAAATGCTTATTCAAATAACCTGCTTGCTAATTTCCATTGCAAAGAGATAGCTTCTGGTCAGATTTCACTAAATTACTTTCGTCCCAAATGACACTATCTGTCAGACACCCCTAAACCCATTCTCTCTCTTCTCACTCAGAACCTTTATTAGTGAGTACGTCAATGCCCAAAGCAAAGCCTACAGTTCCCTATCTCCCCTACCCTGTCCCTTCCAGAGACCCTGTATGCTAGGGTCAGTCACTGGGACTTAAGCAGGAATAATCTGTAGCTTGAAAAGGAAGGGTAGATCTTGTCTCCTTTCCTCCTATCAAGCTGGAATTCAGATTTGATGACTGTACCTTAAGCAGCCACGCTGAAGCAAGAAGCCAGGAGTTAAGGAAACCAGAGCAACAATATATAGGGTAGCTGGTTCCTTCCGGGTGCGTAGGCGGGTGTGTAGGCATTAGCCAGCTCTGTGTTGCTATGTTTATGTGAGAAAGAAATATATTTTTTGAGCCTTCAGTATCTTTGACTTTCTGGCTCTCACTGGTGTGCTGAACCCTAATTAAGATCTAATGGCAGTAAGTGGAGAGCTCATACAAGTGTCACAGAAGAGACAGCACAGCCATTTTTCTCACAACTGCATGTGTTCACACTGTTAATATTACCTTCAGCCTGTGGTTTCTTAAAGAGAAGCTACTTGTCCATTTTCTCCAGATTAGTCCTTAAGAACTACATACTACAAACTTCATCGGGTATGTGGGCAACACCCGAGCCAACAGCCTCTTATGAAGCAAGTGAGCAACCACACACTATTGGGCACTTCCACCTTTTCTCCCCAGACGACTTAAGAACCATGAATAACCTGAGTCTAACAAACCCAGACCATGGGAGAACACTCATATCCACACTGAATACGAAGAAAGCTTCACTTTTGGCTGATTTGTAAGCAAACGAAGTTCTGCTTCTTCCATGGTACTGCCAAGAAGTGTTTTTAGATATCTTCCTGGTGTGCGACTTTGCACTGACCTCAGCAGCCACAGTCAAGAGCGTGGCAGGAATATGGAAAAGTGCAGATTTCTCTCCCAGATCATGGCACTATTCTGCGAGATGGAAATGTCCACAAGTGAAAAATTGGCACAAGAGGGAGTGCTCTGTGAAAGCAAATGGTAAATCAGAGGGTGGACGTACAGAAAAAGCATGGCGCCTTACCTGAATACCTCAAGAACAGTCCTTCCTGGTAATCTGGGAGCCACCTGCTTGAATGCTTTTTTGAAATCTTCCAAAGTTAAGTAGCCACGATCTATTTGAAAATGAAAAATAAAACTTTGTTTTCTTCTGAAAACCCCATGAACTATTATTTTAGCTGCAAGATCATATAAAACTTTATTGTACTGTTTTAAGAGAAAAGCAGTAGTCTACAGTTGCTTTTACATATAAGGTAGTCTGATATTGTCTTATCGGAGGAACTTGGCCTTGTATGAGTCTCCCATTCAGTGCAGTCCCAGATCATCCTGGAAGTCACTGCCAGCCCTGCCATCTTGCTGATTCTCTAAGTTCCGGGGAAAAGGCTGCACACAGACATGACTGCGATACAGTATTAAACTGCAAGTCTTTGTAAACTGCCAAAATATTTCAGTCTTCAATATTCAGCTTTTTTCTTGCTTGGTATTAAACTATGTTATTTAGGAGAGAAATAACAGTAGCAGTGAAGATACTGAACCTAGAATCCCAAACCTTTTCAACTTGCATGGGATCTGTGGGGTTGGCAGCCTGCAGCAACCCTTCTCCATGACATCTAGTGTAGAAAAAGAACTCTTCCAAACATGTAGGGGTCAGAGGAGGAGACGAATGAGAAGGCTGCTGATTTCCACGGGTGGCCTGTGGCCTATGTCCTTTCACTGTCTGCATTATGGTACAGGTACAATATGGAAGTACAAAAGTACAGCATGTAAGTAAGCATAGTTGTATAACTGTAAATATTTCATCCACAGTATATGACAAGAATTTAAGATCATAAATGGAGGAAAAGAGCACACCAACACTTAACACAGCAAAATAACATTGCGTATTTTACTTAATACGTTCCCAGTCATAATTCCTTAGCAATTTTTGAATATCAGAACAGTTTAAACACACTTACAGTGCACATCAAAAGCTGTGAAAATGTGTCTTATCTCATTCCGATATAGTTGAGCTTCCTTCTTTTTCCTTACAATATTTAAAAATTCCCCGAGTACTATGCCTATGAAAAAAACAAAGATGACTATCTTCCTCTTTAAGAAAAAAATAAAACAAACATAAACAGTGATAAATATCAATAATAATCCAATTTTATCTTAATTTCAGTAAATCAGATTTACTCTTAAATAAAATCAAAATGACATTTTACTATGTTCTAAAGGAACCAAACCCTCGCAATCGATAGTGGAAACAACAGGTACCCTTAGGTTTCATTTAGCTTTTTTAAGGGAAAAAGGAATGGTGACCTTAAAACAAGTTTGACACGCTTCCCTCTAACAGATCTAAAAGAGACACAAGACTACTTATTAAACAGCTCTCATAATTTTTCTTTCCTTATGCTTCTTTGATCCCTTTTTTCCTAGCCAGATGTCATTTTGGCTGGTTTTTCCCTACTGGGAGATGGGGTCAGAGAAGTAGTTTCTCAAAAGTCAATACCCATTGCACATCACAGATAAAGGTGGAGAGAATGTTCCACAAACAATAGAGCTGGCACCATCCCCAGCCCTGGATACACCCCTCAATGTGTTCAGCAGCCTCGGGCTCAGCTTCCTATGACTTTTGTAATAAAAGAGCCCAGCATGATGATATGAGATTGGATACTGTGCTTACAGTGTCTATTAAAATGAATTCTAATGTGATCTTTGCAGTAGGTTTAAGGAGCCAAGCCAAGAATTTAAATGTTTCAGTGAACGGAGCCCTAAATATGTGAAAAAGAGTAGTCATTTTTAAAATGCAGGCTTTCCATTAAAAGTTCTCATTGTTTTAAAAATAGATCCAAATCATACAATGATCACATGCAACATCTTCCTTTGAAAGAGAGAACTAATATTTAGCTGTATTCCTTTCCTAAAATAGTCCCAATAGCTTGAAAAAAATGTTGAAAGAATGTTCTTAATTTCCCATGTCTTCCTTAACCTATAAAAAAGAAAGAAAAGAAAAAAGAAATCAATCTAGGGCCAGGCATGCAGCTCAGGGGCATTAGCTCCTTTTCAGCAAGCACAAAGTACTGAGTTTGATTCCTGGAAAAAACAAAACACAAAACAAACAAACAAAAAACATCACCTAGCTTTATGTATTTATTAAGTGATTCTTCTACAACTTTTTTCTAACCTGCTGTGTGCTAGGCACTATTAAGTTCCGGAATTAGGGAGACAGACCAGACATGACCCCAGTTCCAAGGGAAATGCTGAGCTAAGATGGCGAGTCACTATGCAGGTTCTAAGGCAAATGCTGCACGTGATTACAAACTGTGGCATCTGCAATAAGGGAGAAATGGGAGGCTGTAACAGTCCTGAGAATCCTCTTACAGCAGAGACTCTAGCAAAGGAGCAAGCACTTAGAGGAGGCGATACTTAAGCTAAGACTCAAATCATGAAATGATACCAACTGGCTACAGGATGGGAAGAGGAGCCATCCAGGCGGTGGAGACAGTCTGTGCCAAGACCATGGGGTGAGGAAATGGGAAAATGAAAAGAGGCCAGGTGGCTAAAATGGGCGGGGGGGGGGGGGGAGCGAGAGAGACAGACAGACAGACAGACCAGACATAGACACGCAGAGACAGACAGAAAAGAGTGGTGAGGCAGGCAGTGCCAGAACGCCCAGGCCTTAGTGGGCCACAGTAAATAATTTCTTTTATTTATATTCCAAGAGAAAGTCAATATAAAGTTTGCAGTGAAAAACGGTAAGATCTGATTTAGCTTTTGGAAAGATCTTTCAGGCTACTGTCTTGAAAAAGGATTGGGTAGAAAAAGCAACACACGTAAAAAGGGAGACCGGTTAGGGGCCTCCTGGCGCGAGCTGGAGCTGCTTGGGTACCGGCAGTGGCATGAGTGGAGGACAAGGCATCCGGATACGCTTGAGAAAGGAAATGGCCCGAGGTGAGGAGGCACTGCACGAGGCAGGTAAGAGGATGCCGGGAACAACCCACCTATTCTGGATCCGAGGGTCATTTAAGGACATGAGAAAGATGAGGGGAGAACAGGATTAGAAACAGAGTCATGATTTGGGTATGTTAAGTGGTCAGTGTTTTAGAGACAACTAAGAGTGTCTCTAAAGTGCAAAATATTCTAAAGTGTCATGCCACTGTCCCTAAAGTGGCAGTGCAAAGTACTTCACTTTAGAGATGAGTGGCTCCTCCACACTTCCTCTGGCCTAGGGCTTAAGTTCTACCCCTGTTCTTGACATGGATGGACAGACAGAATATGAAGACAGAGGCACCTGGAGGGATCCAGCCACCTTTCCATGGGGACAAGGGAAATTTGAGGAACATGAGGTCCCTCCATCTTCTCAGAGCTTTCTCTGAACAAAGCCTTCCTCTTTTTCACCATGCCTCCTTTGTCTGTTTGGAAGTGCTGAGCAAAAGAACCTAAGCACAGGGACCTGAGCAACGTGTAACAAGAGGAAAAAGTCAAGGAGGTAACTGATTTTCCCTCTGGTCAAGGAAGCATATCTTCTTGCAGCTATCACAGCATCAGACTCATTCCCTGGTTTCTATAAGGACTGTTTCAAGACCCCCGAGGATACTGAAATCTAGGAAACTTAAAGTCCCTCATGAAAAAATGGTACAATATTTGCATATAACCTACACACATCCTCCTATGTACTTCAAATCATCTAATTACTTGTAATACTTAATACAATATAAGCACTATACAAATAGTTGTTACATTGTATCATTTAGGAATAATGATAAAAGTCTGCACATCTTCAGTACAGGGTCAGTTGGCTAAAATGTGGTATCTGCAACTGTAGAGCTGACTGTGTTGGATGGAGTTAGCATGTGTAGCTTTTTGTTTGTTTGTTTGTATTGTGGTTGCTAAGGATAGCAACTACATCTAATCCCATCTAATCACCGTTGTAACTAGAGAACATATTTTTAAATGCTGAAGTTAAAACTGAAGTGTAGCTCGCATACTCCCATAACTTTAGTTTCATGAACTCCAAAAGGTAATCAATTAAACAGAAGATAGAGCTGTTGTAATGTTTCTACAGTTTATTCACTGATCACTGCGCATTCTACGAGACTCATCACCATTTTATTCCCACCTGCCTCTCCAGTCCCTCTAGCTAACTTCCGGATGCTTCTCCAAAACAGCAGATTATCAGTTCCTGCATGTCTAAACACACTGTCTGGAAAGCAGCTTTTTCTTTATTTCTTCTAGTGAGTTTTCACATCTCCTTCCAGATGCAACTCACTCAGATTACCTGCTCTTTGAAGACTTCTCTGATTTCTGTGAGTCCCTTTGCTATGACGAAAGTCTAGCACTCACAATACTATGGTCAAATGGATGAAGATCTATGGTAATTATCCAGCCACATGTTTGCCTGAGATATGCCGAGGGAAAACAGTGTACATTATTCAGACTTTCATCCCAGTGCTTAGCATGAGACCTGGCATGTAGCAATCATTAGTTACATGTTTGCCAATAAGTAATATGTAATAAATAAATTAGATTAGGAAGGTATTATTTCTAGTTTTCAGCAAAAAGTATTAAATGTACATTTTAAATAATCTTATAATTCTAAAAACTAATGCCAAAATGTAGGTCACTTTTTCTTCATATAGCCAGCAAAATAAACCCATTTTAGAAACTCCCATTTCTTAGTATATTATGACCTAGTAAAAAGGAAACAAAATGCTGAAGGAAATGCATGCATAATATTTGTCTTTAGTTATCACTGCATCTGACTTAGAAAAAGGATTAGAAGGAAATCATAGTTATATGGTCTCGAGTGATTCACAAGAAAAAAAAAAGCAAATAACTGATGGTATCATTTATATTACATATTCAGATAATGCACCAGTTTGGAGCTATAAAGTATGCAAGTCTTTATTCCATAGTCTCGTGAGATAAAAAGCTAACATTCTTCAGTTATCAGAGGAGAAAACATACAGATAATTAAATTGCATGTTTATTATCACTTAAAAAGAGAAACAAGACTGGAAACTTTGCTCAGTGCACAAGGACCTGCCTGGCAAGCACAAGGTCATGAGTTTGATCCCTGATACAAAAAAAAAAAGAAAAAGAAAAAGAAAACAAGAAAAGAGAGAGAGAAAAACAATCTAATAACACAAATAGCTCTATATGTGTGATTAAGTTCTTTCATATGATTCTCCCACAGTCACATACTTTATTTTTCCAAGTCAACACACTACAGTTCAAGGGCACCCAGGACATATTAAACTATGTAATCATTCTCTCTCCCTTATGCTTTCATGTCATCTTCCCAAACACATCAAAGGTGAGCCTTTTCTAAAAAGATCGAGTTTTCATTCAGCTAGGTTCTCCTATTGTAATAATATGGTCACTTCCCAAAGCTAATACTTAATAATTTACTATTCCTTAAGCTTTGTAGTGCAAAGACCTTAATGTGAGTCTTACGTATCTTGCTGCTTTTTAAATGGCCTAAAATTAGAATTCCTACTACTAGCTCCACCTGCTGTCACAATATTCAAATCAAAGAATTACCACTTCACAAAGTGAGTAATTCTATTTAATAATTCTATTAACATCAGATTTCATACCCAATGAAAAATACATTATCTGTGTCTGCCCTGGAGTGAAAGACTATATTCAGGAAATTCTAATTTCAAATACAGTGTTGAGTGTTCTATGCATACTGTTCCACTAATAATAATTACCTAAACATGCTTTACTATACTTATAAATTAGGATCACAATAACATCACAAAACACACAATCTCTGTGTTTACCTCCATTTATTAATATGACTGTAGACAATGTGTGAAAATTGTGTGTGTACTTGGATTCTATCAGCAGTGTACAGACTTCTTCCCTGTTAGGAAAGGTTCTTCTCTATAAAATAGGCCAGTACAGAGCACAGAGGAAATGAAGGCAGAGCTACTCAGTTTGGTGCAGTGGAGCTCCCCACACTTCTCTGACCAGCAGTGTCCCTGGGAATGTCCTGATAGGACTCGCAATTGAGGATCATGGTTTAAAGACCCCAAGGAGTTTGTCAGGTTGTTTTGTTTTGTTTTGT